GCCAAAACAAGAGTATTATTTTTTCTAATATCTCCCAAAATAACAATTTGCACAAGAAATAACAGTTCGTGAGGTAGATAGATGGCTTGTACGTATCGTAAAGTATTAAATAAGGCCCGAGTTCTGCCGAGCAGCATCCTTCAGTTATATCCCTCATAAAGAATTTTTAATTTATACTTTATTGTAGCTATGTGGATTAGTTTGCGCCATTGACTGTAGTGTATTAACTTTGTCTAATAATTTGATAATCCTTTCAGATTATTATTTAGTGCCAGAGGGTGATTTCTCAAGTATAGTAAACAAACAACAAGTGTCACACTTAAACTATTTAAAATTTGTTATTTTTGCAAGTGACGCACCAACAGCAACACACTGAACTACAGCACTCATTCAGTATTGTCTGTGATTTTTTTTTCTGGTGTCCATTTGTAAGCTTTTTTTTTTCTGCAATTAGCCATTGAAGAGTGTGCACTGATAATTTTGGGTGCTTTTTAGATACATGTATATCGACTTTATTATGCTAATTGCTGAATAATGCCTCTTGTTCTTTCTTTTATGTGAGTATATATCCTTTCCAAGCACTGTAAGTTACGTTTTCACAACTTTATTTTTCTCTAAGCTTGTTCATTGTCGACTTTCTTCTCTGGCTTTTTGTATCTTTATTGACAAATATGTACCAAATTTTACATGGCGTCGTTCCCACAAACAGGTGGTGCCAGTAATCAGCAGTTTGTACCAGTTACATGCTGTTGCGTCGTTCCCACAAGTTGGTGGTGCCAGGAGCTTGTAGTTTATACCAGTCTTATTTACTGTAGTAGTGTTCCCTTTGTCTTCTTGGGACAAGGTTGATTCAAGAGCTTGTTTATGATTCACTGTTATAAGTAACTACGCTACACAACAGAAAGGTGATAGACCATTAGTTTTTACACGCTGTCTTTTCTCGTCTCTCTCTGATAATGGCAGGATTTTGCTCCTGTGAGTGTCCAAATCACCTGAAGCTTTGAAGATGATGTAAACTGCGTTCTAACAAAAAAAACTTTGTTGCTCTTAGTAGTTAATGTTGGCAATAGCAGTTTGTTTAATTTAAAATGTCGAATTTTTTTAAATAAAAATATAAATTTTATTTTTAATTTACACGTCAATGAGAATCTAATTTTAAATGTGTTTTGGTTTGCTTAATATTACAATAACGAGCGTTGTATGACCCGAACGGGTTTGGCACTTCTTTATTAATATAAAACTAATACTAATGCAAAATAGCATTTATATATCACGAAACTTGGCACTGGGGTAGATTTGCGAGTCCCTCTCGAAGACCATTATCACGCTTACCATGGGTCCTTAGCTCTAAATTGCGCTTTTTGTGATAGAAGGGCAGGAGGGCTAGTGATGGGGGGGGGGCAGAGTTCACACCACCATGCCAACACACCAATTAGGAACTGACCAATGTCTTAGGAACTATTAGCATTCTCGCTAAATTCCTCCGATTTTTTCCGAAAGTCACTTCTAGTTAATGCGTGAACGAGCACTTTTTATTATCCGATTAATTTACTGCCTTGGATAATTTGAAAAAGAAAAATACATTCTTGTAGGTAACGTTGTTTAGGTAAAAGAATGTATGGTAAGTTTGGATGAAAATACAGCTTGATCTACAATAACAGATTAAACTTTCAATATATTTAGTATATATATTAATATATACTGAAACGTGAATAATAAGAGACTTCCAAAAGCTGTGGCTGAACATACCTGAAGCAGCATAAATTCGTCGTGTATTTTTTCATTACATTTATAGCAAGTACTCAGTTTCAGTATTATATTTAGGTTGTCTTAAATTTTGAAGTGTGATAGGTAATAATAGTTCATTGCTTCCGTTTCTTTTTTCTAAAAAGCATGTTTTATATTTGTATTTTCGTTAATATTTAACATATGCCTTTAAAATAAAATGCATATTATATTACGCATATATGACCCGTAGGGGGTCATACAGGGGGTAATCACGTTTGATACAAGAAATTGGAGTTACACTATCCTTGGATTAAACTTAATTATTTCCCAGTCTCCAGGCACTGTATAACCATTACGGGTTTAGCGCTGCCATATGAATGTAATATGACTACGGATATGATTGCTAAGGTAATAATAATCTGTATCATGAACATCGTGGAGGTACCAGCACCGAATTGATGCATATATGTTCCAACCTTTCATCTTAAATGTAATAATAATTATAAACAAAACCATTTTTTTGGCAGTATTTTTCAATGTGTGCATCTTGTCAGTGTATAAGTTCACTTACAGCTGCTGGCATTTGTGTTTTATTGAGATGTCAAATATCAGTGTATTTTCGTTTTGTTATATTAGATATTTTTATTGTTGTGAATAGTAGCGTCATCCTGATCCACCTTTGAACTGTAATGCCTATTCTTAGTCCATGATAATAACCCCGTGGTAGTCGCCCAAATTAACGTATTGTTGTGCTCTTTAAGGCACCTGAGTTCTTAGATTAAGTCTTGGATACGTTGTGTGTTGGCAGGCGGAAGCCACGCCTAGTAATATGCCAGATGAAGTATCACGTTGTATAATACGTGATTGCTTGTGTATGTGTGTAATTCTGTGTGCTTGTTTTTGTCACATTGTTTATTTGTAGTGTTTATATTTTCCTGTGTTTTGATTTTATTTTTTATTTATATAATAATCTAGTTAGTGCCTGGTATCTCGTTGACATATTATTTTATGCACCCATAACTATTTTGTACCTGAGTTTTCAATAAAATATATAAAAAAAAAAAAATTTTCCTTGAAATCATTTCTTGAAATCATTTATCCTCATCTTCAGGTTTACAAGAAAAAAAAATAAATTGAAAATTACAGAAGTTTAAATAATTAAATATATTTTTTAAGAAATTGCTTATTTTTTTCAATTCTGTACGTACTTGTCTGTTTGAAGACCTGAAGATGTGAACAGAAAGTCTCGAAGCGTTGTAAAAATAAAATGGCTTTATTTGCTCTATCGTTGCTGCTATATATGACAAGACTACGCTTTCCATATGAAAGCTCGATCTCTGATGTAATTATATTTACGGGATGCGCTAAATCCGTGTAGGTTATATAATGAACGTTGTAAAACAACGACTGTAATTTGAAACATGATTCGGGCCTCGAAAATTTACAATTCAGTGACACTTTCTCTTGCTCAGCTGCCACATTATCAGCGCCTTGATTTTTTAATGATAATTTATGCATTTTAAAGTTCACATATTTCATCAAAAAAATTTACATCTAATAGCATAAGTACCCTTTTATCAGTATGTGGCGCATATAACATTTCAGCAAGTACTCGGGCTTAAATGTGTCTACGTCAGTGGAGGTGACCAGCGTCTTGTATAATAGGTTGCTGTAAGGTTTCGCCTTGCTAAAGCACTCGGTCGAATATAAATGCTCTACCTGATGTCACCACCACTATTTACTGTGATAACTTGAATGCTCAGTGTTATATGTGATTCTTCCTCAAAAACTATTTGACAGTAATAGTGGCCTGGGGATGGGTAAACAGGGCAACGTTGCAAGTTGCCTCAGTAAAATGTTTTTTTATTCACTTGAAACAGTAATGTTACGCATTACACTAAAGGAAATTTCTGAACGTTCACTTATTTTGGAAAAATTTGAATGATGGATATTTTAAGATATGTTGTTTTCATTTAACCTAAATAAAATTATTTAAACCCATAAGTAACCAATAATAATCATATGACACGAAGGAGTGGAGCACTTCTGACAGCGGGGTAGGGACTTCGTAAAGTGTGAAGATAGATAGGCTGCAAATTTTTAACTTCTAAGTGACCCCAATGACACTTGACCAGACTTCAAGAACCCCAAAATCTACCTTACTAAGCTGAAACCCGGAAAGAAAAATATGTCTTGATATTTCCCAAAGCCAACTGGGTCAGGAGTCTCAGGATTAACATAGCATGTAGGATATTCTTGAAATAAAAACACTTGAGCAATGTTCTAGTGTTGCAAAAGTGATTACATTGTCAGTATACATATACATATGAAAAAAGGTAATATGAACATCTTATTTAGGTTTCAGTGGCAACCGTCGTTAAGGGATGACAGATGTTGAACACATATAAGGCAATAAGCTAGTTACTTTGTTAGGTTTAAAGCCTCTCGACTACATGCGAACAATTAGAGCTATAATTCACCTATACACTAGCATTTAAGACTCCTTTAATATTTGAAGTAGTTATTTAACTTTCAGTGTATACACTAAGAGACACATCTTTCTATTTATATATGGCATGGAAAGCGACGAGAGCTTGGCAGGAGGGTTTAGGTAGGGTAAATTATGCCATTCATACTCTCTTGTGATATTTATACACTAGCTTCGTGGTGCACCAAGGCGACTCACGGCAACACTGTCAGTGGTTACCCAAGTCACCACAACTGAAGCGTTCACATTAAACGAGTAAACGAGACGTACTACAGATGCGGTCGTTAATCTCCACGCTAAAATTCATGCCATTGTAAATTTTTCCGACATGATTGGATCTAAAGGCAAGGTTTCACAACACGTGATACAATGGTGACACTTCAATTGGTATAAACTGGCGTGTGAATTTCAGCCTGGTTTTTGGCTCAGCATTTGACTACTAGGACATTCCTTTCCATGGCCCAATGAATCTCCCACGTCCTAAGTTGACGTTCAGATATATAAAAAATTAGTTGTAAGACATTGCTAGTTTATATGGTTTAATGGATAATTTTCGAAATAACTTGTTGAAAGAAATTATTACAAAATTGCAGATTGCTTGTGTGGTCATACTTGTGCGAGAAACGCATCTCTAACTGCTAAATTTATTACCCCTTGTAACATTATCATCAGATAATGCTACTACATTTAGAACAGTTATCAGTGGATTATTTAGTATCACTCGTTCTCTGGTTTTAATATCTCATTTCAATGGTGCAGACTTATTTCGTTTGCCATGTTTCAGAGCGGCCGAGCGCCCCCGGGAAGCCCCAGGCTGTGGACCGGGAGGGCAGCGCCCTCAGCAGACTCGCCTACATCAAGGTGGCCAACGATGCCCTCCTCCTCAGGTGGGACGCTCCCCACACTGACGGTGGCTCACCCATCACAGGTCAGTCTTCGTCACAAGTCAGTGCTCATCCACCACAAATGTACTCATCCATCACAAGTCAATCCTCGCCAGACTTATACTCGCCTGACCAAGCTTACCTTTCAGTTTCTGCCCTACTCGTCCACCTTTATTTCTCAACACTGACTACCTGCATCTTTCGCTCAAATTCTACATGTAGAAGTTCAGTCACCACGCTCACCGGATAGTCACTGTCCGTCACTGTCTTCTTACATTTACTATTACCACCATTACCGCAGTTGCTACAATTATTATTACTTCTAACATTCGCATTTAGTAATGCTAATATGAGTACAATTAATATTATTATTATTTCAGTCATTCTGTTTTAACTCATTTACCTTATTGCTCTGTTCGAACGTAAAATGTTAATTTAACTATTAATTTTTTCAGGCTGAGAGCTGTTTTCTTACTACAGCTCATTTAAAAATCTCGTATCTGTCTAGGATATACTATCACCTTCTTCCTCAGAATGTGACCTTTAACAAAAGGCTAACACCCATGTACCTATTTATTCCAAGGTAGAAAAGGGCAATAAGTGTAAGGAAATATGCATACATCCCGGAGCTGAACCCGAGTCGTTCGGTTGTGAGCCAAAAACGCTACCGATGAGCTACGGATCACCTCTGTTGTTTTGATTGTAATATTTACTGTGTTAATGCTAGTTGCTGTGTTGTAAGTGGGTAATAGTGTGATGTATGGCAGGTTACATCCTGGAGCGGAGTGAAGGTCTGGGAGAGATGTGGGTGCGGGTCAACCTGGTGCCCATCAAAGAAACAGAGTTCGCCGTTGCTAACCTCGTCGGCGGTCGAGAGTACCGCTTTAGGTAGGTGCTGGTGCTCTCTGTCTGTCTGTCTGTCTCTCTCTCTCTCTCTCACTCTCTCTCATATATATATATATATATATATATATAGATATATATATCGTGCCTAATAGGTAAAACTGGCCAATTAGCAAGAACTCATTTAAAATTAAGTCCTTTCTAAAATTTTCTCTTATACGTTTAAAGATATATTTTTTTCATTAATGTTGATGTAAAAATTTATAATTTTGCACCAAAAAGAACTTAGAAAACTTACCTAACCTTATTATAAGAAAAACAATTTATTTTAGCCTAACCCAACTAAATATATTTTAGATTTGTTTACAATAATTTAATACTAAACAAACACAGTGAAATATATTTTTTTCGTTAGGTTCAGAATGATTTTGGCGAAATTATTGCATACACAAATTTTCACTTGTCCTATATGGCAAGATGAGCGTTGCTATTTAAGCCAAGATCGCAAGTTCTGCCTATTCGGCACAACATATATATATATATATATATATATATATATATATATATATATTATATATATATATATATATATTCAACAAGTTGGCCGTCTCCCACCGAGGCAGGGTGACCCAAAAAAGAAAGAAAATCCCCAAAAAGAAAATGCTTTCATCATCATTCAACACTTTCACCACACACATAATCACTGTTTTGCAGAGGTGCTCAGAATACAACAGTTTAGAAGCATATACGTATAAAGATACACAACATATCCCTCCAAACTGCCAATATCCCAAACCCCTCCTTTAAAGTGCAGGCATTGTACTTCCCATTTCCAGGACTCAAGTCCGACTATATGAAAATAACCGGTTTCCCTGAATCCCTTCACTAAATATTACCCTGCTCACAGTCCAACAGATCGTCAGGTCCCAAGTACCATTCGTCTCCATTCACTCCTATCTAACACGCTCACGCACGCTTATATATATATATGGAATAGGTGGTAAGTCACTAAATGCTGTAAAGAGTTTTTATGAGGATAGTGAGGCTCAGGTTAGGGTGTGTAGAAGAGAGGGAGAATACTTCCCGGTAAAAGTAGGTCTTAGACAGGGATGTGTAATGTCACCATGGTTGTTTAATATATTTATAGATGGGGTTGTAAAAGAAGTAAATGCTAGGGTGTTCGGGAGAGGGGTGGGATTAAATTATGGAGAATCAAATTCAAAATGGGAATTAACACAGTTACTTTTTGCTGATGATACTGTGCTTATGGGAGATTCTAAAGAAAAATTGCAAAGGCTAGCGGATGAGTTTGGGAATGTGTGTAAAGGTAGAAAGTTGAAAGTGAACATAGAAATGAGTAAGGTGATGAGGGTATCAAATGATTTAGATGAAGAAAAATTGGATATCAAATTGGGGAGGAGGAGTATGGAAGAAGTAAATGTTTTCAGATACTTGGGAGTTGACGTGTCGGCGGATGGATTTATGAAGGATGAGGTTAATCATAGAATTGATGAGGGAAAAAAGGTGCGTGGTGCATTGAGGTATATGTGGAGTCAAAAAACATTATCTATGGAGGCAAAGAAGGGAATGTATGAAAGTATAGTAGTACCAACACTCTTATATGGATGTGAAGCTTGGGTGGTAAATGCAGCAGCGAGGAGACGGTTGGAAGCAGTGGAGATGTCCTGTCTAAGGGCAATGTGTGGTGTAAATATTATGCAGAAAATTCGGAGTGTGGAAATTAGGAAAAGGTTGTGGAGTTAATAAAAGTATTAGTCAGAGGGCAGAAGAGGGGTTGTTGAGGTGGTTTGGTCATTTAGAGAGAATGGATCAAAGTAGAATGACATGGAAATCATATAAATCTATAGGGGAAGGAAGGCGAGGTAGGGGTCGTCCTCGAAAGGGTTGGAGAGAGGGGGGTAAAGGAGGTTTTGTGGGCAAGGGGCTTGGACTTCCAGCAAGCTTGCATGAGCGTGTTAGATAGGAGTGAATGGAGACGAATTGTACTTGGGACCTGACGATCTGTTGGAGTGTGGCAGGGGAATATTTTGTGAAGGGTTTTAAAAT